AAAAAAAAAGAACAGCATCACCATGCAAAACCATGAACCGTAGTTGTTATTTCGTGTTTCTAGAAAAAATTTCTTACCACCTTCACCTCCTCCACCGCCTGCAGCAGCTGCCGCGGCCTGCTGATTCATTTTATCGAAAGTCTCGTCCCGAGTCTGTAAAAAACAGCGGTATTTGTGCAGCAAATGAAAATGAACATTCCATTGCTTATATCACCAAAAGCAAATGACATTTGTTCCTCGAAATAACACACAGAGCGACGGATTCGCAATCAGCACCAGACTAGCCAACAGCTCCTGTCGCACCAGCAATAGCAGCTATTTACCAACAACAACGACGCTATGAAGGTGGTGCTTATCAAAATTCCGCTAAAGCAGAACAAAATCTCGTACTGCACTGCAAATGGAAATAGGTGCTAACGATAAGGAAATGAAGCTGCCGATCAAAACCCCTTCACCTTGCCCAGTTGCCCTTCGGTTCCATGTGATATGCAAATGTCTCGTCTCTTGACTCGAGTACCCCCCGCAGTGATATTTAATGTGGTGATAAGAAATGAAATGCGAGATTGGTTTTATGCGATAGTTATTGTGAGGCGGCAGTTTACATCTGCTGCCGCTCCCGCCCTCGATATTGTTTGGTGTCAGCTTGGAACTGCTGCCTCCTTTTTCGTGTGTTTTGTTTTGTGCTTGTACTAATAAAGTTTTATTTGATGATCAGGGCAAGGGCCATCCTACAGCCGCTCAGCCTTCCGGTCGCCCTTCTCATTACACCTATATAACGAAGACGTCCCCGTTTATCTTAAACACCATAAAAAAAAAGTAAAATCAAGGATACCAAAACCATCATAGCGATAATACATGGCTAGAACCACATGCCAGCTGTAGAGAGGCCAAGCTTTCGGATTTTCAGAAATAATGATAATGATATTTCCGGGAAAATTTACCGGTTGCAAAGTTTGCGAAAGTTGTTCCAGGACACCGGCTATTCGTTGATATGCGACATGTGCTGGTGCAATGGTCTCTACTTTGACATGAAGCGGCCCACCATAATGCGCATATTGTGGATCGCCACTTTGCAACAGTTCTTGCTCCTGAAAAAAAAACCTTCGGATTGGGTGGCTTTCCTGAAATGTATGACTCAAAATATCAGTAAAAACAGGAAGCCCTATACCAAGCACCTGTACTACTACCAGTTTACCGATTCCTCTTGATCAAAGTCGAATTCGAGCTCTCAGAAAAAGTGCTGCAGTACTTTTTTTGTGAAACCAGCGTATCTTCGCCCTCTCAAAACGTGCTTTTCAGCCAGGCATTGCAACATTCATCGTCGAAATCGCAATAAAACCAGGGTCACAGCAACCTGTTAGTTTTGCCCATACTGCATATTTTTCGCTGGAGAATATCGATGAGGATGGACGAAATAGATAATGGAATGGTGTCCGCGCACAGTCAAGCGAGCACTGCGGAGGGCATCAGTGAGGTGGGGAGACCCCATGGTACGCCTGTACGGTACCAGGTGGACTGGGAAAGCGCAACAACGAATCGAATGGAGAAATTGCCAGCTGCATCGATGGCGTGACAACGGACTTCGATGATATACAGCTACTCAAATATTCATCAAGTATCGATGAGGAATGCACCCCTCCCCTTCTCCTCTCCCCCACACGCTTTTTGCTGTAGCTCCTTCGCAGTAATTTCGCAAACGAATTCATTTATCAGAAACAGCAACAATGAAGACCTGTCCATCCATCGTTACAAGCTGTTGCGTTAAAATTTGTGGCTGTTAAAATTATACGGTAGCACAGATTCTTTTTCGCGCAATGGCGTGATTATGACAAGCTTCCAGCTCTTCATGCAATAATTTTGCATTGTTGTAATGTGCCAATCTTTCCCCGTCAAGGTTCTAACGAAGTCGAAGGAGTTTAAGCAAAACTTAATTGTGCTTCCTCCCACTATCAATGTCCTTTTGCCTTCTAAAGTAATTTTTTCTAACGTCATTTCCAGATAATTGAATTATAACGACAACCAATTGCCAAGCGAAGCAAGAATGGTACTTTCGATCCTCATGTCAATTTTGCCCTTTTATTTTACCTTTCACTTTTCTCTTATTCCTCTTTTATCCTCTAAATCATTCCTTCATTTCGTTCCTAGCAATAATTCGACTCTTGTGCTTCACAATTTCACCGTCTTTCTCTCTAACAGCTTACTATCTGACTTTTTTCAAACCGGCTAGAAGGATATGCTGATGACTCCCATCTCTAACCGAACGGTCGACTGCTATCTATACTCACAGCTAAGGGATGGAACACAAGCAGATTCCTCCCTACATATTCCTTTCTGCATGACACTACAACATGACATGCGGCTATACGATTTCCAACCATGTTTACGGCCGAGCCACGTTGTGCCAGGCCGCGCCGTACTCTAGTAGTTCGTGGGCCGGCCCATTTTATGCTGTACTGCTACGGGATGGGCATATAGTGGTTCGGCCAAATCTACTCCCACCACTGACGAGATTCCTCTACATCCTGCCTTGAATCCAATTTCTAGGCATTTTACGTTCCGCAAAAACCATCATTCATTTCAGAACTTGTTCACAGCCCGACTGCTGCAATTTTCAAATTTAAATGTAATGAACCAAAAAATCCATGAACCTTAGCACGATCCTTGGTGGAGCCTCGTCCCAACACGTAAATATGGCATTTGAACTGTTTGGCCATCGCTTGCAGTGTCGCTCCTTTCGGTCCCAAAATTTTACCAACAAAATTGAAATGCGGGTGCCTGAAGTTCGGGATCAATACCTGAAATAACAAAAACGAAATGGAAGCAATTTTCTCTTTTTTCATTCCTCAAATTATCCGGCAAACATCTCAAAATACCGGTG